CCGTGTTATATTACGGACCCAAAAAGAGAAAAAAAAATCGACAACCACCCATATAGATTCCGCGGCCGAGGGCCCGTATCTACATCAGCACAATGCTCATTTAGAGCAGTAGCATGTTGTCATGGCCCGTGGCAGTTTCAAGCAGGCTCCCCCTTCGAGATTAACGGAAGGTACCCCTAAAGGCTATCAAAGCTATATACACTGAAGTCCTTTATAGTCAACTATAAGAAGCTACCTTTAACCCTAGACTTGAGCCCGAAAACCTTAGAAAACCCTGAAACAGGATGAACTTTTTCGGACCCAACTCCGAAATGAACTCTAAACCCTAAACCCTAAACTCTATAATGGTACTATACATGAACGCTCTGGGAAAGGTGCACACCTACGTGAAGGAGCTGCTCCGAGAGCTGGGTGAGGATGAGTCCAACATCACGCAACTTGTTCCCGAAAGCATCGCGAAAGGTTCTNNTTCTTCCGTGCGAAGCCCTCGAGACAAGTACATAGGATCAAGTACACAGAGTACTATGCAAGCATAGTACACAGAGTCAAGTGCACAGAGTGAGGTACCAAGCGCATAGTACATAGAATGAAGTACATCGAGCCAAGTGCATAGTACACAGAGTCAAGTACATCGAGCCCAGTACACAGAGTGAAGTAGATCGAGTACCTGACTTATCTACATCTCGGTATGTCTAACTTTCTGTTTGAAGCCGGGGCGGCGCCGATGCCATCGATCGGGATTGCAACCCTTTGCGTGGATTGGCGTGGTCGAGCGCACGAACGTGAGGTAAAATTGCTACTTTTAGGCGCCCCGCGCAACCCTTTGCGTGGATTGGCGTGGTCGAGCGTACGAACGCGAGGTAAAGTTGCTACTTTTTGCTACTTGTAGGCGCCCCGCGCAACCCTTTGCATGGATTGGCGTGGTCGAGCGCACGAACGCGAGGTAAAGTTGCTACTTGTGACATTCCCGCGCAACCCTTTGCATGGATTGGCGTGGTCGCGCGCACGAACGCGAGGTAAAGTTGCTACTTTTGACATTCCCCCGCAACCCTTTGCGTGGATTGGCGTGGGTGAGCGCACGAATGCGAGGTAAAGTTGCTACTTTTGACATTCCCGCGCAACCCTTTCCGTGGATTGGCGTGGTCGAGCGCACGAACGCGAGGTAAAGTTGCTACTTTTAGGCATGCCGCGCAACCCTTTGCGGGGATTGGCGTGGTCGAGCGTACGAACGTGTGGTAAAGTTGCTACTTTCAGGCGTCCCGCGTAGTGAAGTACATCGAAAACAGTGCACAAAGAGACTCTATGCATCTATGCACTAGACTACATGACTCTATGTACTTGACTCTATGCACTGGACTATGTACTTGATGACTCTATGCACTTGACTTTATGACTCTATGACTCTATGCACTCGATTCTATGTACTCAAACTGTGCACTTGACTCTATGACTTTATGTACTTGACTCTATGACTTTACATAGCGCATTTTTTTGGCAAATTTTGCTTTCGGGCCACGCGTCTTCTAGTTTTTCATCAGGATCTTAGATGATGTAATATATATATATATATATGTATTTATGCCTGTATATTTATATATAGATAGAAAGATGGGTAGATAGATAGATAGACAGATAGATACAAAGATAGCTAAATGGATAGACAGATCTTGTGCTTAGGAACTTGGTTCAGTGGTATTCAACGGAGTTTGCAACTCTTTTGGAAGAGCTTCTTGGGGAAACGTGTTTTGGCCTATAGGGTTCAGAGCGTAGGGTTAGGATTTGGGCTGATCTCCAACGCTCGTAGAAATTATTTCGGATGCTTACCACAAAGCTCCAAAGGTAGAATAGAATATTATACGCTCAGTATGGTTCCAAGGGCGATTAAGTCACAAGGAACCTAATGCAAGGGTTCCAGAAGGGCTTCAGAGATACCAAGATACCATAGTTCAAACAACGAAGTCCATATTACGGTTTTGGGAAGCATGTTTCCCTTAAGGTTGTATAGTCAATCATTCGGACGCTTGTAGATTACAACCCAGGAAATTCCAGACCGGTGGCCCCGATGGAGACCTCGGGAGCAATGAGATTCTCATTTCCAAGGACCTGACTGTTGGAATCTGGGACGTTGTTCAGGAATTCAGTTGACTTTGTTCAACCTACCAAAATATTGGGGATCGAATTATCGTATAGATAGTATGCCGGAATTGACAAAACCCAGGAATCGTCGATGGTTCTGGGGTCCTCTACGACCCCAGCGGCATTTGCAGGGCAGAGTTGACGCGCCTGGCACAGCAGCGTGTGCCGATCAAGGAGTTCAACCGCTGCTTCCTCGGGAACGGTGCTTTCTTGGTCACCGTAGACGAGACTTGTCTGCGTGTCTAGCACAAAACGTTCTTTTTTCTTCTGAACACCAAGAGTACGGATGTCGACTTGGGTAACAGTGCTCCCTAATAAACCCTGAATGATACAACCACACCTCAGAGAACAAGCAATACCCTTTGCCCTCAGCCTTCAGACCCAGGAGAGCAACGTGACACTTCCTGATGGATCCGTGTGGCTGACTGGCGCAGAGCTCCGTGACAACTTCCATCTCACCGACTCTAACCCTTGACTTTATAGTGTTATATATATATATATGTATGTATATATATATAGTATATATATATACACATATTTTTTCATTTAGGTAGTTTATCTATAGCTATTTTTATATGTATATGTGTATTTACATTTTTATTGGTTTGTTTAATCTCAGTGAATATAATCTAATATACTCTACTATTATACAACATGGTTCAATATTGGCTGCTAGGCTGATGATTGCACATGTAGGCGTCGGTTTCTTCAGCCTCCGCAAGCTAAGCACGGCTCGCATTTCAATCATTTTCGGGCTGCATGAGCCGTAACCATGGGGCCCAATATAGAAGCCTGAATAATAAAGCCTGAACCCCTAAACCCTAGACCCAAAAAACCCTAAACCCTAAACTCCGAAACCCGAGGTCCTGCAGAAAAACGGGGAGCCTTGAAGCCTCAACCCTAGCAGCAGGAGAATCCAGAGCTCAGGCTAGAGTTCTCTAGACACCTTGGTATTCCCCAATATTCCTTATTATGTTTGTACAATCTAATACTAGGTGTCCCAGTGGGCCCTTCTTCCCTTTTTTGAAGCCCTAGGTTCCTTATACAGCTACCCATTATGAAAAAGGTAGCCCTTTTGAATCCTACGTTACTGGGCATCCCAGAATCTGTGCGCCACCCCGTTCTAATATCCCTCTATTGCAGGACCCTAAACCCTAAACCCTAAACCCCTAAACCCTAAACCTCCGGCCTCCGAAGAGCTTTCGCAGTGAAAGGACTACGCATCGGCGGACCTTTTCGTGCCTTGCGGTGGGCGACCGAACGCCGTGCCGGACTGAGTTCTCTTTCTCCGTTCTCAGGAGTGCGATTTTAGGGTTTAGGGTTTAGGGTTTAGGGGTTTAGGGTTTAGGGGTTTAGGGTTTAGGGTTTAGGGGTTTAGGGGTTTAGGGTTCAGGGTTTAAGGGTTTAGGGTTATGGTAGCGGGTTTGAGGGTTTAGGGTTTAGGGGTTTAGGGTTTAGGGTTTAGGGTTTAAGGGTTTAGGGTTTAGGGTTTGAGGGTTTATCGCTCGATTATTCTTGGTGTTGTTGTAACTAGATACACTTCAGCAAGCTGCACACTCCAGCAAGCTGCGCTGAAGCAAGGTGACCACGGATAATGTCAAAAAGCTCTTCACCGCAGATGGATCGAGGCCCTTGTCAGACCAGTGCTCAAAAAGATCATGTTTTCAGGCGCCCGGTTTTGTAAGGTTTGACTTCAGTTTGCATGGCTTGACAGCATCATTTGAGCAGCGATTGTATGTCCTCTGACTCGTTTCCTCGGCTCTCCTTTGCAGGCCGAAGTTTCGCCTGATCGTAGAGGGCGCCAACCTATTCTTCTCCGATCGTGCGCGAGGCCATGTGAGGAGAGGGGTCGTATTTCTGGTGGGATTTATGGCGGGTGCCTGTGACAGTACTGCGACCTACGTAGCACAAACTCGCTTGTGAACTAAACGTTCGCCCTCAAGCTCGGGCAGCGCCCACACAAGGTTTGTGTTTGAAGGATATACTGATGAAACCTCGCCGCGCAAACATGTGCACGCGACATTGAAGGCTCAGCGAAACGGTTGCGAATATGCACACATGAGACAGAGATATTGAGCAACCCTCATGTTCCATTTCCGATACATGTTTCGGCAGGGCGCCCTCATCATAGTGGGTTGCGGATTGTAAAGATTGAGGGAGGTGATGGACAGCTGAATATATTCTGAGTAACCGTGCATCCCGATCGCTGTCCTCGGTTTTTGGTTCCGGCCCTGACACAGACCTTCCCTGTGCCAGGTGTCCTTGAAGGAGCCGGTGTTCACGTCTTCAAGGATGCATCAACCAACAAGGCCAATGGAATTCTGGGCATCGTACTTTCCAGTTTCAAGCCCTTTTCGTGTGCTGAGACACTAGCCGGCCAGCCTTTTTTAACCAAAGTGAGCCTCCAATCTGGCGAAGAGCAGGCAGGGCTGTGCAGTAGAAGGGCGTTCGGAATTTTTAGTCGGAAACCACCCGAGACTGCGAGACTCGGTGCGGACAGGGTGGCGTGAATTCGAGCTCGCTCGAAGTCCTTGCGGCGCTGGCTCTGTCTGAAGAGGCAAGGAGCGCCGGGAAGAGCATCGAATTTAGCGTTCAACTCTTTCGCCCTAGACCGGAAAGGGGAGGAGGAGCAGGAGGAGCAGGAGGCGGAGGAGGAGACGAGCTAATGCCATCCGCCAGACATCTTCCGCACCCACTCTACTGGAACTCATTGCCTTGCGCTTCAGGTCTTGCAAGCAGCATCAAGCAGCGGAACCTGTCACGACCTGTGTGGCGACATGCAGCTATACATATAGTTACATACATGCATGCCTACATACATACCTACATGCCTGCAGAGACAGACAGAGAGATAGAGAGAAGCCGACCGACCGGCAGAAAGACAGAACGATAGACAGACAAACAGACAGACAGACACAGACAGAGACAGGCATGCATGCATGCATGACGCACGGATACATACACACGTCTGTTTTTGCTGCAGCACCACAGGATCACTCCGCAATGATGTGCTACAACCCGGCCAATGGCGGCATACCACCTGAGTTTTACGAGACCTACGTCAAGCAAATTCAGGCAGTGGCAGTGGTAGTCTGAGAAAGAGGGTTTTGGATTGAAGCAGCCAGCTTGCTACAAACTTGCTATGCTCGGTTCATATACCTTCAACAGTTGCACGTTGGGAAGTCCCTGCAGCCTTAACGTACACAACGTCTCCGTGCGAAATCCGTGTCCTTGCATAATGCCCTGAAGTCATGTCCATCGTGGGTGTTTGCTCCAGAGCCTCACTTGAGAATTGTCTTGAACCTTCGTGCCCTTGGGACGCCCCTTCCATGCCTACCTCATACTGCCACACGTCCCAGATGTAAGCAGCGGAACCTGGACTTGTATCAAGCCTCAAAACACAGCTCGTGACATGCTTCAAATCTTTTTTCGGTGCTATGGCTGCTATGGTCATTAGTACTATTGAATTATAGTTGTCATTGTTGTTATTATCCCGAGTATTATTACTTGTTATTATTACTACTATTGTCATTGATAATATTATTGTTCTATTGGTCATGATGATTTAACCTTACAGCCGGACAGAAGAGAGCGCTCGATGCCATCATGGAACCTAGCCAATGCTTCCAAGGACCTTATAGTTAGGGCCCTAGACCCCTTAAGGACCCAATAATGAGGTCCTTAAGGACCCTAAACCCTAAACCCTAAACCCTAAACCCTAAACCCTAAACCCTAAACCCTACGCTTCCCTGGAAGCGTAGGGCAAGCTGGGCATTGCAAACAACCTGTGGGTTTAGGGCCAGGCTTCAGGGCTTAGATTTACGGCTTTAGGGTTTCATTGCGTGTTTAGGGCTAATAGGGCTTTGGGCCTAGGGTTTAGGGTTTAGGGTTTAGGGTTTAGGGTTTAGGGTTTAGGGTTTAGTTTTGAGATGGGATTAGGGCGATCGGACAGGGGCCAGTGTCTAGCGCCACATCATTATATGGGGGTGTCCGAAAAAAGGGGACCCTAATATAGTACCCTAAATAGTAGGACCCTTATTATAAGGACCCCAAAATAAGGTACCCCTTCTTTTCGGAAACTCCCATACAATGACAAGACTCATCTGCTTCCCCGCGCTACGTTTGAATTCGACAACCAAGACACTGAAAGCTCGAGCCTCGTAATTCGCCCCCGCCCCACCACCAAAAGACAAGTGTAAACGAAGCCCCTTCCGCAGGAGACCATTGTGGAGAATGCCGGGCGGGAGTTCCGCGCCATCTGGATTCCTGGCATGTCCTTAGGAGCCCAAACTCCAAGCCCAATCAATACAGGGTATTGATACCCCAAACTCAAGGCCCTTAACCACCCGAATCCCAAGACCTGCTCAAACCAATCTTTCGTAGTCGTCAAACCCCAACCCCAAAATCCCCCCCAAGACCCTAAACCCCTGAAGCCTCAATCCCGGAAGCGCCAGTTTTGGGCCCCCAGGAAATGCAATTCCGGCCTCGGACTCTCCAAAGTTCAAGCCACGAAGATGATCTCTGGATCCTTGACCTTGGTGGTGGTGGTAGTAGTAGTAGTAGTAGTAGTAGTAGTCGTAGTAGCAGTAGTAGTAGTAGTAGTAGTAGTAGTAGTAGTCGTAGTCGTAGTAGTCGTACTAGTAGCAGTAGTAGTAGTAGTAGTAGTAGTAGTAGTAGTCGTAGTCGTAGTCGTAGCAGCAGCAGCAGCAGGAGGAGGAGGAGGAGCAGGGGGAGGAGTGACTTGTGCACGGATTGCCGCAACCAG